GAGGCGGCCCTCGATCTCGATCGGGTAAAACCGTGCGCGGGGCACGCGTGTGATCGGGGAACGACGAACGGTTAGGTCTCAATTAATCGGCGGATCATCGAGGGAATGTTATTGGCTTGCGATGTCTTTGGGATTTCGAGAAACGTCCATTTTTATGTATACATTCTGAGATATATTTTTGGAATAAATTTGGATTTTTGGAATAAAATGGATAAATTTGGAAATTATTATTGGTTTCATTTGTTGGTCGAGATTTTGACAAGAGTCTCTTGGGTTAGGTTTATTAAGAGGTATCAAGTTGAAACAGAATATTATCTATTTGTGATTAGGATAGGTCTTTGGGATTTCGAGAAACGTCCATTTTTATATATGCATTCTGAATTATGCTTTTAAAAATTTGGAAATTATTGTTGGTCGAGATTTTGACAAGAGTCTTTTGAATTAGGTTAGGTTTATTAAGCAGTCAGTATTAAGCATCAAGTTGAAACAGAATATTATCTATTTGTGATTAGGATGTCTTTGATTGATTTCGAGAAACGTCCATTTTTATACATGTATTCTGAATTATGCTTTTGGAAATTTGAAAATTATTGTTGGTCGAGATTTTGACAAGAGTCTCTTGGGTTAGGTTAGGTTTATTAAGAGATATCAAGTTGAAACAGAATATTATCTATTTGTGATTAGGATATCTTTGAGATTTTGAAAAACGTCCATTTTTATATATGCATTCTGAATTATGCTTTTGGAAATTTGAAAATTATTGTCTCATTTGTTGGTTGAGATTTTGACAAGAATCTTTTGAATTAGGTTAAATTTATTAATGCATCAAGTTGAAACAGAATATTATCTATTTGTGATTAGGATATCTTTGAGATTTCGAGAAACGTCCATTTTTATACATGTATTCTGAATTATGCTTTTGGAAATTTGAAAATTATTGTTGGTCTCATTTGTTGGTCGAGATTTTGACAAGAGTCTCTTGGGTTAGGTTTATTAAGTCTAGCATCAAGTTGAAACAGAATATTATCTATTTGTGATTAGGATTTCGAGAAAACGTCCATTTTTATGTATACAATCTGAGATATATTTTTGGAAATTTGGAAATTACTGTTGGTTTTATTTGTCGAGATTTTGAAAAGAATCTCTTGGGTTAGGTTAGGTTTATATTAAGCAGCAAATCTTAACGAGACATCGAGTTGAAACAGAATATTGGAAATTATCTATTTGTGATTTGTGTAATTGGACGATTTTCTGAATTATATTTTTGGAAATTTGAAAGTTTATTATTGCTGTCATTTATCGAAATTTTGAAGAATCTCTTGGGTTAGGTTAGATTTATTAAGTAACATGAAATTGAAAAAGAATATTATCTATTTGTGATTAGGATGTCTTTGAGATTTCGAGAAACGTCCATTTTTATATATGCATTCTGAGATATATTTTTAGAAATTTGGAAATTATTATTGATGTCATCATCGAGATTTTGTTAGATTTATATTAAGCAGCAGATCTTCATCGCATTAAAAGAGAATATTATTTATTATTGATTTATGATTTGGACGTATACATTTTGAATTATGCTTTTGGAAATTTGGAGAGAATATTATCTCCCTATATATTATGTTTTATAAATTATTATTGATTTGAATATTTTTTCCTTCAAAATTTCCTTCAAAACGTCTATTTAATTACATTTGATCAAATTCTTATATTCTTTTATATATATCGTAATATTTAGAAATTTCGAGAAGAATCTTTATTAGATTAAACAAATTTGCCATTTCCATCCCAATAAAGTATATTTATACTTTACACAAAATATACGCTTATACAAAATATCCATAGAAACTATATATCAAGATAAAACAACGTATTACCTCGTTTCACAAAAATATCTCAAAGTCCACGAAAAAAAAAAAAAAAAAAAAAATAGTCCGCGATAAGCAGTTTCACGCATATCCATTAGAGGCGAAGCTGAAATTCTGGTGTTCCGTCGGGGCCCGAAGGCCACGAATACGAAATGACGGGACGGATATCTGACGTCTCTATAGCAGGCATAAA